TCAAGATGAAGTTTGAGGAAGCGGGTTTCAATTAAGCTACTAGGCTTCTGTTGTTTATTTGTGTAATTAATATTTGTAAGTAGTCAACCGCTTGATAAAGATCTTAGTGTGTATTTAACTACAAGCTATTGCAACTTTGACTTTGGTGTTGTTAAGTGAATTTGCATTATTTTGTGGCTCTACTTCTCATCATACTATGGTTGGAGGATCGACTCTTATGACTATGGTATGACTCACACCCTGATTCATGAATATTCTTTATTCTCGAATCGGGTTGTGACACTAAACAAGGCTAGATATACTTGTAAGACAATTCATTGTCTTAACCACGAATTGTGGTCTTCTAATCATGTGAGGACTCTAGAGGTTTGCATGTTTAGGAAGTATACTTGGACTTATTGGATTATCTCTATATAAAAGTTATCCTAATTGAAATACATGAGATGAAAGAATTCCTAATTCTACATGGATTGAAACAATCTAATTCTAATGCAACTGGAACACTCGATTGCCCCTTGTTGGGCAAGGCTTTCAAGTGATGCATATATATAAAGGTCCCTTCTCTAGCAACAACACACGCTAAAAGAGTTCTCACCTCATCATAGATAAATAACATTGCAGTGTTGCATAGAGAAGAAGATCCTCTACATCCAATATGTCTAATCAAGGTTAGTGTTGAGTTATGAAAGTCTAGTACAGATTAATATGTGGTATCTGAGCTCTTGGCTTTTGTTTCTTAATCTAATCCATGTCTTCGATAAAATCTGCATATAAGTTTTCTGTTTTAATAAATAGTCACAATAATATGAAGTTTCAAACAGTTTGCATATCTTATATGTTTAAGTATGATCAAGGGCATAAAGTGTTTGTTGAGGCCCAAAAAATCCATGGATTGGGCCCGAGCAATTATCAGCCCAATACAATATTCCATAAGGAAAAAGGAAAAAAAGGTCTATCACATGCGAGTTATAATCCACATGCCGCGCTAAATAAATGAATTATCATGCTATGATTCGCGATAAAAATATGATTAACTCATGCTAAAATTAAAACAATCCTTCCCAAGAGCGATAAATTAAAATATGCCGAGCAACATGCCATGCCGTTATCTCGCACCCAACCACGCTACAAGCCTAGGTGGGCCCAAGCCACTCAAAAAACCCGGGGCTTGCTTGAGTGGGTTGTGGCATGGATGGTAATAAATCAACATGAGGCCCATTGATGGGCCGGGAAATGAAAAGTCTCGGGTTACTTGGGAGCCTCGAGGCTCAAGCCCATTTCTTAGGCCCAAACATATGGGTAAGCACAAGAAAAAAAAAATCCCAATACCCAAGCAAAACAACCCAACCAAAATAAAGCCCAAACTAAGAAGCCCAATGTTTAATAAAAACCCTCTGCTTAGAAAATCACCTTGGCCCATATAAAAATCCTAAAATAGTCCACAAAAACCTCAGTTTTTGTTTGACGAAAACAGAGGACGCGTGAAGAGAGGTTGGCAGACTCCTTAAGCAAAGCTGCTGGAAACAAGTCCCAAGCCAGAGACATCCAAAGAATCGATGAGTACTATCCCGCATGCTGTCAGAAGCATCCCTTGGACCAGTATGCATCTTCACTTCCTTTCCTTCGCCAGATTTGGTTAAAACAGAGGAAAGGAAAGAAAAAAAACAGCAAACCAAGAGTGGAAGCTCCCACTGCACAGCTGCGGGAAAGGAGGATGTTGAGCCCCCAAATCCCCTGAATTCATGTAAATAGACAGAAGCAATCTTTGCCAAGAAAGGGAAGTCAGAGAAGAGGAGGAGAAAGGAAGAAAAAACTTAGCCAAAATAAGTAGAAGCCATTAGGGTTTCTTGAAAAATGGTGATTTCCAGCAGCTATAAATTGAGCCTTCCCCTACCCAACAGAGACAACCCACAACCTGCAGAGAGCAAGCTTTCTCTCTAACTTGCAAAAACTCAACAAACTCGTGCACTGTTCATCTTCTTCTCCAATTTGTTTTTTGGCAGTTGCCAGAAGAACTCTGCCTTTATTTTTCCTCTTTCCCTAGTCAAATTCCTCACAAAACACCTCATTCCTTACTTAAACACTTTCTTTTCTCATAAACCAAGCCTAATTTCTCTCTTAATGCTAAACTCATGTTGGTTTTGCTCCCATGCCACATGCCACTCATGCTGAGCTAAAAAGACCATCTGTAAGCATGCCAAAACTATCTGCAAGTCACCATTATTCTCGTTGGTGAAGATTATCCAAAATATCTCCTAAGATTTCGCTGCCCTTTCGAGGTATTTTGGGGCTTAATTTTCGAACCTAAACAAAAGGGGGCAATCTCCTCAGTCTGCCTTTTGCAGCAGCCCAGCCTGTTAGCTGCAGGAAGAAAAAGTCCCCCACATAAATTGGCGACTCTGCTGGGGATTAAGCCATTATCTTCATCAATGCCTCCAAGAAAGAAGACCAGAAGCAACAACATGACTTCCCAGGATGGGCCAAGCCATGCTGATTCAGAGTCAAGGCAACATGCCTCTTCTAGGGAAGAAGAACGTGCAAGTGAAGGAACTTTTACCCTCACAGATCTTGTTGCAGCCATTCGTGCTATGGGTGAGACCCAGAGGGAGATGGCAGAGATGATAAAAGAACTCAAAAATTCGGCTCCAAAGCCAAGTGAAGTGAACGAGAAGCACCCACAGGAGGAATCTGCTGCTGCCGGAAAGGAGTCTGAGCAAAAAGGACCATCTTTCGTCACTCAGGAGGACGTCGTTGCCATGCTGGAAAAGGAGCTGAGTCGAAGTCAGGAAGATTGGAAATACCTTCCTCAGCCGCCGTATCCATCAAGCTTACTCCAGCAACCATATCCTAAAGGCTATGAAGCACCAACCTTTGTCCTCTTTGATGGACGGAAGGGGAGCCCGAAGGAGCATGTCAATCGCTTCATCGATGCCTTGGGACCATATGCTGGTGATCATAATCTTCGACTTAGAGAATTTTCAAAGAGTCTCACCGATCGTGCTTACACATGGTATACAACGTTGGCACCAGGCTCTATTCACTCTTGGGAAAGCTTGGCAAGCAGGTTCTGTAAGAAGTATTTCCAGCATGAAGAACGAGTCACCACCACTCAACTCAACAACACTCGCCAAAAGCATGGTGAGGATCCCGTGGACTTTGTACGTAGGTTCCGGGACCTGGCATTGGATTGCTATGATGAGAAAGATGAGGAGGCGCTTGTTGAAATCTGCATCAGCAATATCGTGGCAGATTATAGAGTGTATTTGGAGAATATTGGCATTAGTCAATTTTCTCGGCTGCTGGAAGCTGTGAGGAAGACGAGCATGTCCGTCAAGCCACCAGGACAAAAGACTTGGAGGAATGAGAAGAAGGAAGCGCATCAGGCATTAGCAATAGATGACAAGCCATCCAACGACTACAATTCACGCAAACGGAAGGATAGGGAAACGTATCCACCACTACCATGCAAAGATGAAGAATTTCATGCTATCCTTGACACGATGATTGCTGATGGCGTAATCAAACCTGTCAGACCCTACAAAATTCCTACTCGAGAGGAAAAGAATGATCCTAGGTACTGCCGTTATCATCAATTTGTGGGGCATCCAACCACTGCCTGTCAGAGTCTGAGGAGGATTTTACACGCCAAAATACATGAGGGAGTCCTTGAACTTCCCTCTAGGAAGCAAACGATTGATGAAGACCCCTTGCCAAAACGAAGGGGAAAGGAGGTAGCCGCTGTCATTACATGCTCTGATGATTTGCTTGATGATGATGAATTGTGCCACCCTTGGAGGAATGACCCAAAGCCGCCGGAAGCTATATGGGAACCTTGCGGAAACATGGAAAAGGCATATTGGTGTAAATATTCGAGGCCTTCAAGTTACAACACACCATGGCCACTCGCTGATGGATGGGGTAACAACTCAAACAGCGAAATTTTTGTTTTAGACATGCCGGAAGAACGCTACTCGGGGGCTTTATCGGAACAGCAGGAAGCAGCTGCTGTGACATTTCATAATATCACGGAAGCTGAAACAAGCGTGATGGAACGTTATTTAAGCATGAAACAGGGGCCCACAGCTTCACAGGTCCTTCAAAGAAACCCAAAGTTCAAATCACTCTTTGACCAACTTGGCTTCGGGCCTCAAGCAAGAGAAGCAGCTGCTGTAGCTCTGATGAATATCTCTGAGGAGTCTAACTCTCAATGCTTTACAACTCAACCACAAGGGTCATTCTTGGGAAACAACAATGCTATTGTCTTCACAGACGAAGACATGGAAGTTCCATACCCGGACCATAGGAGGCCGCTTTACTTGGAGGGACAAATCAATGATGTGTTCATAAGGAGAGCTTTGGTAGACACGGGTTCCTCTGTCAACATATTACCTCTGTCTGTGCTTACGGCAGCTGGTATCCCATTGTCCAAAATTGTCCAATCACAAACAAACATCAGTGGTTTCGGGAATAATAGTGAGGTCACAGTCGGGCATCTACAAGTAAATTTGAAGGTTGGGCCAATTCGGTCACTTACTAAGTTCTATGTTGTGGATGTGGATGTGGCTTACCATGCTTTGCTTGGAAGGCCATGGCTCAACAAGCATAAGCTTGTGGTCTCTACCTATCATCAATGCGTAAAAGGAAGGATTGGGCTGAGGCCGCTACGCATACCTGGAAACCAAGCACCGTTCAACAAAGATGAAGCTCACTACTCCGAGGCGAAATTCTACACTGAATGCACAGGTGCTGGAAGCAATCCATCCAAGGATTTCGGGACCTACCTTCCTTCGTGGACTGAAATTCATGATTTAAGCAATGAGGAGCTCATCACCATTGTTGATCGAGAGAGAAAGAGGCACTCGGAAGTCAACAACCATGCCTATGATCATCCCCAATGCTCAAAGGTGACGCTGCCCGATGGACGTATCGTGTACCGCTTATGACGGGGTTGGGGGCTCGACCGTGTCTTACGGGAAAGCCCCGAGTATGGAGGGAAAGTAATGCAAACAAATAGCTGTGGGAGTTCCAACAATAAGGCACCCATGCCTTGTGCTTTCCAAGAACCAATGGCAGCACCCAGACACATGCAAGATGGATCGGCAGCAGTAGCTGAGCAGCTGGAAACAATTGATTTGAGTGAAGATCCCTCTACCCCGAGGCCCATTTCCATAAGTGTTCATTTAACAAGTGAGGAGAGGGCGGCCTTGGTATCTTTGCTACAAGAATTCCGAGATGTGTTTGCTTGGAGCTATGAGGAAATGCCTGGCTTAAACCCAAGCTTAGTAAGTCATACTTTGAATATTGAGCTTGGTACAAAACCTATCGTGCAGCCGAGAAGGAATTTTCATCCTGAAGTTGAGAGCAAATCAAGGTGGAAATTGAAAAGTTGTTAGCTGCCGGATTCATTAAGCCAATCAAGCATCCAACATGGTTAGCAAATATTGTGCCTGTAAAGAAAAAGACCGGAGTAATTAGAGTATGCACGGACTATCGAGATCTCAACCGAGCCTGCCCAAAGGATGAATTCCCGCTGCCTAACATGGACATCTTGATTGATTCAACCTCGGGTCAAGGATTGTTGTCATTCATGGATGGGTTTAGTGGCTACAATCAGATCAAGATGTCACCCAAAGATGCTGAGAAGACAGCCTTTCGAACACCATATGGGAATTTTTATTATACAGTCATGCCATTCGGCCTTAAAAATGCTGGCGCCACTTACCAAAGAGCCATGACAGCAGTGTTTCACGACATGATGGGAAAAGAAGTCAAAGATTATGTGGACGACCTTGTGGTGAAGTCCAAAACCAGAGAAGGCCATCAAGAAGTTTTGAGGAGAGTGCTGGAAAGGTGTCGACTGTACGGTTTAAAGATGAATCCAAAGAAGTGTGCGTTCGGGGTTTCATCCGGTAAATTCTTGGGGTTTCAAGTACACTAGTGTGGCATAGACGTGGATCCTGAAAAGACTAAGGCCATAAATTCTCTTGCACCGCCTAGAAACCCAAAAGAATTGAAAAGCTTTATGGGAAGATTATCGTATATTCGACGCTTTATCCCAGGTCTTGCTGCCACCATGAGTGCTTTTACTCCACTGCTCAAGAAAGGCAAGCCGTATGAATGGAGTGAGAAGTGCCAAGAAGCTTACAAGAAGGTGCAACAAATAATCACCAAGCTGCCCACTATGAAAGCACCTATTCCGGGGCTTCATCTCAAGCTTTATTTGGCTGCAACAAACACAGCAGTGGGGGCTTTGCTTGCTCAAGATGATCATGACGGGAAGGAAAGTCCCATTTATTACGTAAGTAGGCAACTAAGGGGAGCCGAAGTAAGATATCCGAAGACTGAACTCTTGTGCCTTGCTCTTGTCTATGCTGCACAGCGCTTGCGACATTACTTCCTTGCTCACAAGCTACATCTCATGGTGAAGTCCGATCCCGTAAGATATTTGCTTACAAGGCCGGTGTTATCCGGACGCCTTGCACGTTGGCTGCTACAACTGTCCGAGTTTGATATCACCTGCACCACCCCAAAAGCCATCAAAGGGCAGGCCGTGATTGACATGTTGGCTCTATTTCCCGAAGTTGAAGAATCAACAATCTCTAAGGAAGTTCTGGGGGAGCTGCCGGAAATGGTTGCTGTAGTCACAGAGGCAGAACCATGGACCCTGTACTTCGATGGGTCTTCTACATCGAAGGGTGGAGGGGCAGGTGTGGTGCTTGTCAATCCCGAGGGGCAAGCCACGGCCCTCTCGTTTAAGCTAAATTTCCCATGCACAAATAATACGGCAGAGTACGAAGCTTTTATTGCAGGGATGTCTACAGCAAGGGAAATGGGTGTCAAAAGAATTAAAATTATTGGGGATTCAAACTTGGTGCTGAGTCAATTACAAGGAAATTTCGCCGTGAAGGAACCAGCATTGGCACCATATCGTACAGCTGCTGAAAGGCTTGTTCGTTCTTTCAAACAGGTTGTGTTGGAACATATCCCGGGAGTCACTAATAGATATGCTGATGCGTTGGCCACTTTGGGGGTCGAGGCTCTCATTTATTGAAGAACAGCCCAATATTGCAGTAATCAAGAAGGACACGCCAGTTGTTGAAGCAATGGCTCAAGAGGAGCAGCTGGAAGAGGATGACTGGAGGAAGCTTGTGAAAGAAAAATAGGCAAAGGAAGCGACATCAAAGAATTGAAGGATTATGCGATCATCTTTGGGGAACTGTACAGACGCCTTCCGGGAGGTATTTTGACCCGCTGCATAGGGATAACAGAAGCACAGGAGAAGCTTCAAGAGGTACATGAGGTTACTTGCAATTTGGAGCCAATAATCAGCTTGTATCGGCGCCTGCAGCGCAAGGGTTATTACTGGCCAGAAATGAGGAAACAAGCAGCTGAAATACAAGCCAATTGTCCCAAGTGTGCAAAGATACCCTCCACCGAGGAATCATTCACCGTCTCATTTGCGGAGGATTGGAGGGCTCCATACTTGGCATCCTTCATCAACGGAGTCTTGCCAACCGATCCCAAGCATGCACGCAAGCTCAAAAGGACAATAAAAGATACTTCATAGATGGGTCAACTCTTTACCGTAAGGGGTTTAATGGTGAGCCATTAAAATGCTTGGGAAAGTCAGAGGCACAGCAAGCCATGCAAGAGATTCATGCTGGAGAATGTGGTGAGCACCAAGGAATGAAGAGGCTTTACCGGCAGCTGCTGAGTGTTGGGTATTATTGGCCTACAATGAAGAATGATGCATACAACTTTGTGAAGAGGTGCCACACATGTCAAGTTCATGCCAACTTAAGTCATAAGCCTCCCACGCTGCTGCAAGACATGCGCACTCCTTGGCCCTTTCATACTTGGGGGCTTGATTTGATCGGGACTATCCATCCACCATCCGACGGCTACATATGGATTCTCACAGCCACCGAATATTTCACAAAGTGGGTGAGGCGGTTCCCTTGCGGAAGGCCACGGGAGCTGCCGTTGCCAATTTCATCCGTGAAAATATTGTATGTAGATTTGGGATCCCATACAAGATTGTCACCGACAATGGCACCCCGTTTGTCAATAAGCAAGTAAGCTCGACACTTAGTGGTTATGGTATCAAGCATCGTCGCTCCACGCCTTATTATCCACAAGGAAATGGTCAAGCGGAAGCCACGAACAAGACTTTATTGAGGATCCTAAGCAAAATGGTCTATGAGTATGAAGGAGGTTGGAGTGTTCACCTGCCGGATGCTTTATGGGCTTACCGCACCTCTTCAAGAAGTGCCACAGGTTTCTCGCCCTATTCACTTGTGTACGGGTCCGATGCCATTTCACCAGTAGAGATTACCATCCCCACTGCCAGAATAGCAGCTGTTAACGACCTCGAATGGGATACAAAGTCATGCTCGGAATGGCGCCTGCTGGACCTTGAAGCTTTGGATGAAAAAAGAGCGGAAGCCGAAAAGAGGACAGCGTTGTACCACAGAACTGTAGCTCAAGCCTATAACAGGACAGTCAAGCCTCGCGCCTTCAAGCAAGGAGACCTCGTGCTAAAAGTTGTGGAGCATGTGAGAAGACAGGTGTCGGGACCTTCCAAGTTTGCGCCACAATGGGAAGGCCCGTTTGCAGTCAAAGAAGTTCACAGCAGCGGCTATTATCGCTTGGTCTCTGTCAAAGAAGGCACGCTGACAGACCCCGTCAATGGGAAGTGGCTCAAGCTCTACTACTGCTAAGTTAACTTTATGCCTAGTACTTTTGTATTTTCTCTCTGTAAACAAAAAAAAAAAAATACCTTCTGTCTTATTTTCACGTTTTGAAAAAAAAGACACTTTTGTATGATGCACCATTATGGTAGCAAGGGCTTTTGCAATGAGAATGAAGGAATATTTTGAAAAAAAATATATTGTGTCTCCAAAAACTTTACTATTATTAACCCTTTCTCAAATTTTCTCTCTCTCTATATATATATATATATATAAACATGCCACTTAGTAGTGAAACATGCCGGGCAAAGTCACTTAGATGGGGTCCCCAAGCATCACGCTTAAGCAAAAAAAAAAAAAATAGCATAAGGCATGTTGCAAAGAGACATGCAATTTTGAGATGCTGGAACAACACGATACAACACCTGGAAGCTTTATAGAGCCCAAGTAGAAATCATGCACATATTGGCTCGACCCTTTGGGGAAGGTGGGAAGCTATTTTGTCAAGCTTAGAATCTAGATAAGCCATGCAAAAGAAACTTTCGAAAATTTTGCTTCTGTTAAAAAAAAATTTCGACAGCATATACCCTGTTTTCAATGATATCCAACCTGTCAGAAAATTTCAAGCAGTTCATAAAGACAACTCTGGCCAACAAAGCAGTACATATATATATATATATATATACACAGGAAATATGCAACATGCCTCAAGCATTCGGAAATTCATACAAGCTTCAGTAGTTTAATATCAAAATTACAAAGGCATAACGACGTAGTCGTTAGAGTCTCAAAAGAAAAAAAAACAACACTACAAACAAAGCAAAATAAAACTGCATATGCTGAAGGTTCACGCGCCCTTAAGTCACAAAGAAAGCAGGGTCATGTGCCAAGCTAAATGGTTACCAAGCCAAGGATGGACAATCTGCAAAAAAAAAGAAAAAGTGTGTCAAAAATAGCTGCTGCTGGAATATGTAACGTGATAAAAAAAAATAATGAATGAGCTGAGTACCTTTAGGCTATGGGGAATGTCCGAAAAGAACAAAGGAAGCCCCAGGAGATAATCTGGCCGCTGCCTCCGTCACGCACTCAGCGCTGTCAACAGAAATACCCTTAGCAAGAAGGAGGGCATGCATCTCCCGGCGCTGGTTCTCCAACTCCTGTTGTTTAATATTCAAGGCATCTGCAGCAGCTTTTACTTCATCAGAGTCATGCGATAATTGCATACTACGAATGGCCCGTGCTCCAAAGACGGCACGTGCTAAGTTCTTCACGAGTTTGAGAAGAAATTCCACGCGAAAGCCCAGAATCATGGCCTCACATATTGCATCTCGCCAACAGAGCAGTTTGTGATCCGTAATATCAAGGAGTTGCATGGTGTCCATCCCATGAAGTACTAAGCCAAGGGCTCGAAGGGCAGTGCACCTTGAGAAAGAGGAGGTGACATCTGTAGCTTCCATCAAACTTCCGTATTTGTCCATGAACCTTTTCAAGGCTTTAACCGTCTCTGGATACACGAGGGCACCTTGGAATGTCACATAACCATCGAATCTGTGGCAAAGCGGAAGAAGTTCATCAATGGATCTAAGAATGGTGACACCACTATCAAAAAAGGCTTTGAATGCCGTGTAGGAATTCTCCCAATCTTGCCAAGACATGCCTTTCTCGAATGAATGCCCTTTTGAGGAACCTGCGATAAAAGCATCACCATTCTTATGACTATTGTCAATAATCTCAGCAAAGGGACGTACTGCTGGAAGAAGTGGGGCGGTGCCGGAAGCTATGTCAGGTGTGCTCGGGATTGGAGAAGTAAGGGGAAGTACTGCGGAAGAAGTGGAGCGGTGCCGGCAGCCATGTCAGGTGCGCTCGGAATTGGAGAAATAGGAGGAGGAACTGCTAGAAGTGGGCGGAGAGGCGTCAGCAGCCATGTCAGGAGTACGCAGGTTAGGAGAAGGAGGAGGTTGCACTGCCGGAAGGCTCAGGACAGCATCAGCGACAGTAGTGGGAAAGGCAAAACCAGCCTCCGATGAAGCTTTTTTTTTTTTTTTTTTTTTTTTTTTTTTTTTTTTTTTTTTTTTTTTTTTTTTTTTTTTTTTTTTTTTTTTTTTTTTTTTTTTTTTTTTTTTTTTTTTTTTTTTTTTTTTTTTTTTTTTTTTTTTTTTTTTTTTTTTTTTTTTTTTTTTTTTTTTTTTTTTTTTTTTTTTTTTTTTTTTTTTTTTTTTTTTTTTTTTTTTTTTTTTTTTTTTTTTTTTTTTTTTTTTTTTTTTTTTTTTTTTTTTTTTTTTTTTTTTTTTTTTTTTTTTTTTTTTTTTTTTTTTTTTTTTTTTTTTTTTTTTTTTTTTTTTTTTTTTTTTTTTTTTTTTTTTTTTTTTTTTTTTTTTTTTTTTTTTTTTTTTTTTTTTTTTTTTTTTTTTTTTTTTTGCGGCAGACATGAACAAGGGATCCAGGACGAGGAGAGCGACATGGAGGGAACGGGAGGGAGCCACAAAGTTATTTCCGATAACCAGGTTAGAGTTAGAAGCATAAACTCTGAATATGGACATAAGTATGGGTTGTCCCCTTACGCCGAAGGCCCGGTTTTCAACTGGTCATAAGGATGATGACATGATTGCTGCCTTAAAAAACCAAAAATAACGAACAAATGCTCTCTTCACCTAGAAATGCCACGCTGCTGTGACTGCGGTCAGTGTAACTGTAATCCGTGTGCCTGCTGCTGTCCGCTTCCAAAGTGGCGATGTGGCTGCTCATGTCCCCGGTCCAGCTGTCTATGTCCCTGGTCCAGCTGCTCATGTCCCAGGTCCAGCTGCTCATGTCCCCGGTCCAGCTGCTGCAAAAATATTTCCTGCAGCAAAAATTGTTGCATTTTTCCGTCGTGTTCATGTCCTGATTGCTCTTGTAGCAATTGTTTCAAATGGAAATGCTCTTGTCCTAAATGTCCAAAGTTACGGCCTTGCTGCTGTTGTAGAATATCCTGTTGTTGTAACCCCTGCAGTACATGTTTGTAGTATTGATGCTTGACGTTTATGGAAGCTTTGTTCCTCAACATGGTTTTTCAATTTAACTAGTCTAAATTTTGCAGATAGTGAGGGCTCTGAAAAAAATTGTGAGCTATGAAGTAAGTTTTATACTATTGGCCTCTGCATTGTTGGTTCCCTGTTGAATAAGTGTTCTTTTTATATGAGTAACTTTCATGTTGGGTTGGTGGTTTATCATCTGCAACTCCTTTAAAGTTACAAGCCAAAGTTGACATAATATACAATGCATCACATACAATTTTCATAATATAAGATAAAAAAAATTGGGTTCATTCAATTGGTCTTGACAAAAATATTGCACAACGCATCTCGGTGACTCGAGCCATTTCTCTGATCCAGTCGAAATGGTTAAGATGGATTCATGGGAGCTTTTGTTTTCCTCTTTTTAGCATGATGACTATTTTGGAGTGCTAATAACTATTTTCGAAAAAGAAAATATAAAATGGGCAATCCAATTGTAAGCAAACTCCACTATGAAATTAACATGTGGGTATGTTATAAAAAAAGGCATACCTATAAACATCGGTATGTCATTCACTCTATTACATTAGTTTTTTTCTAGCCAAACGAATTTGCAGTTGCCCTTTGAGCTGCCTTCCTCAAGGCAATAACCAAATAAACATAAACACTCCCAACTCTTGGTTAATCTTCAATTTTCACCCGTGCTTCTTTCCGGCCCGACTTGCTCAAGGCCAAGCAACAGAAACCCCAAAAGAAGAAAGCCATACTCAATCTATCAACTGCGTCCATGCAAAGGCGATTGGGCTCTTAACCTGGTGCTGTGGGTTTTGCCACACAATTGAACCAAATTCTGACCTTGCTGTCTTGTCTGCACCTTTATTAGCCACAAACGTGACTGTGTACTTCTGCTTCTCTCCTACATTCTTGAACACAAGCCTTGTGGGCTTCACCGCAATCCTCACCATTTGAGGTCCAGTCACAGCCACTCTGTATATGGACCCCGCAGCCCCTACATTAGTCAACTCACGGCTGTATCTCACAACCCGTTTCTTCCCGAACACTACCGAAAATGAAGGGTAGTTGAGTTGGCCAGGGTCTGAATATTTTCTAGAGCATGTAACGTTGGGCTTCTTGACAATGGCTTGCACATGTTCAAGAGTGTAGTCCAAGGAGCACAAAAACGCAACGTAGTCGTCGGTGGATATGTCGTATACTAGGCCCGGCGACAGTGCCTTCTGAGGTTCGACATGGCCGGAGCCGTGAGCCCACGGGTTCGAAAGTGAACCATCCGCGGCGTCCCGGAGAGGGGCCTTGGTGTTGTCTTGGGTATAGGCTGTGGTCATCAGTGCAGATTTGATTGCACTTGGGCTCCAATCCGGATGGGCTGCTTTGAGCAATGCTGCAAGCCCACTAATGTGTGGACATGACATTGATGTACCTACAAACAAACACACAGGTTGAGTCAACGGCCCAGTGGTCAACATCATCAACGATTAGCATTAATCAAGGCTTACAAACTAGCCGTTACCTGACATGATGTTGAACTGGCTCTTCCTAGTGTCCTCTTCAAGCCCAGTGGGCCCGATCGACTCTGACCATCCAGCCAAGATGTTGACACCTGGACCAATCACATCCGGCTTCAAGATCTGGGGAGTCACCAGATTGGGCCCCCGTGAACTAAACGCCGCCACTACCGGAGAGGGTCGTACATTCAACACGGTCCCGCCAAAGCTAATCAGAGCCGTTGGATTCGAATCGTGCTGGGCGTATTCCCTAATTAGATCACCGACTCTCATCCCGACGGCCACAGCCGGTAACAAGTGACTGTCAGCCACCAATTCCTCACCGCTGGCGGCCGTGTTGGCGAGTATCATCCCAATCCCACCCGCGGCACGTACAACACCACCTTTCTCCACACGTGCGTTGATGCCGCGATCGCACACCACCACTTTCCCACGTACGTGCTCCGTTGAAGCGAACCGGGCAAGCACAAGTTACTTGAGCTGTTGGACCCCTTGTTGTAAACCAACTGAACCGGTTTATTTCCCATCCCGGTCCCGCTGTACAGCGACACGCCAGTGAAACGTTTTTTGTTACCGAGCAAAGCGTAAGCCGGGAAATCCCGGTCCAAGGTCCCGGCTCCAACGGTCATGATCCACGGGGCCGTGTTGGCCAACGAGGCCTTACTCGGCCCACTGTTCCCGGCAGAGCAAGAGACAAAAATGCCCCTCTCCGTAGCCGTGAACGCCCCAATCGCGATCGTGTCGCGGTAGTACGGAGAGGACCCACCGCCCAAAGAGAGCGACAACACGTCGACGCCGTCCACAATGGCCCGATCCATGCCCGCCAGAATGTCCGACCCGAAACATCCGGTGCTCCAGCAGACCTTGTACGCGGCGACCCTCGCGTGAGGCGCCATCCCACGCGCCGTCCCGGTCGCGTAGCCGAGGAGGCTGGCGTTGGCCACGTGGGACCCGGCGGCGGTGCTGCTGGTGTGGGTCCCATGGCCGTCTCGATCTCGCGGCGACTCGGCCTCCTTCGATTTTCTCATGAAACTTCCGCCGGAGGCCATGTGAAAGCCTTTTGAGAAGCACCGAGCTCCGATCAGCTTCCTGTTGCAGAGGGACGGGGCGAAATCAGAGCCTGATTCGCACTGGCCGCGCCACCGGGTAGGGATCTCGGGCATTCCGGCGTCGTCGAAGCTCTTGGACTCGGGCCAGACGCCGGTGTCGAGAACTCCGACAATGACGTCATTGGAGGCCTGGTTGAGGTCCTGGGTCGAGTGACCGGCCCAGAGCCCCGATTCGATCTCGAGACCCAGAAACTCGGGGGTCCGAGTGGTGTGGAGAGTGTAGAGAGTGTCTTCGTAGACCCCGAGCACCGAGTCGGATTGGCGGAGCAACTCGGCTTGTTCGGAGTCTAAGGAGGCGGCGAAGCCGTGGTAGGCGGTGGTGTAGGTGTAGAGAAGAGAATCTTCGGTGGAGGAGAGAGACTGGAGGTGGGCAGAGTACCAGTCATGGTGGGTGGCGTAGGAGGATGGCTTGGAATGGTGGTTCATCTGCACAATGTAAGTCTGCTTGGCCATGGCGGATAGACATGTCACAAGAAGAAGTAGAGCAGCAAACCAGAACCGGGCCTCGGAGGCCATGGCTGAGCTTTGGAGCTGCGTATACCCAAATGTGGAAGATGAGAGAGTGAGAGAGTACAGTCGCTCTGTAGCTGCGACTGCCAGAAAGGGGGGGATAGAAGGTAGAAGAAGATAGAGACTCATGTCGGGTTTATAAGCAAGTGGAAATATCGAATGCGACATTTATTTTGCTTTAATTACTCCAATGCCACTTTCTTCTTCATCAGATCAGATGTATGTGTATTTACAATTTACTTTTTCTTTTCTTTTCTTGTAATTGTATTTAATCTTCTTAGTTTAATAATTAATTAGGATTAGTATCGTGGAAGAAAGCTGGAGACTCCATGATTATTGTTTATTAATTTAGCGTTGAAATACAGTGTTTCCAGTTTGAAATCCATCTGCATGCATATGCAACTTCTTTATAGTATTCCCATTAACAATTAGATATTTACTTGATTTACGTTGGTTTCTAATAAAAAAAATAAAGACGGGAAGATATCTTGACTGATTAATTATTATATTCATCTCTATGATTTCCACTTAATTAATCTACATTATAATGAAACACAATTATTTTTTATGCATTTGTTCGACATAATTCGACTAGTATGATTTATCTTGTAATCTGTCGTAAATCGAGAAAGTAATTAAGTTTTTATGTATCATTTTAAAATCTATCCAAATTATTTCTTGCACTCGACGTAGTTAGATTTTCTTGTACATAAGACTGGATAGATTTTATTCTCTTTATTCTTGGAGCAGTCACGGGCATATATAGTTTAACCACTTTTGGTGAATGCAGCAAATTGTTTTTGTTGGAGATGGAGATGGAGATGGAATAGGCTTGATTTGCAGGTAGTAGGGTTAATTTGTCTTCATCAAACACAGCTGGAGGCACGTCTTGAAGGGGCCAGCGCACTCGAGCACCGCCAAATTAAGTTCAATTTAATTTGTGTCCTTCCTATCCTGAACACTTGGTGGTGTTACCTACCTTTATCTTCTCTTCATCTTATGAATGTCGAGAAGGTGAGTAAATCAGTGTAAAAAAATGCATATATTTTTACTAAGAAAACTTGATTTGAGAGAACTTATAATTGTATTCCCAATTACAACTATTTTATGTATCCAATGTGCAAAGGAACGTGATTCATCGGTCTCATGTTTAATTACAAAAAACATATATATTTAAATTTCACTTCTAAATCAACATTTCATACATAATGTTGGGTACATAGGTGTGACACACGGTGCAACTTATGAGCACATCTCAAGTTTTACACATAAAATTAATCAACAGTATTGCAAATACATAGATTTTTCCATATACTACTTGATACACAAGAATCTTAAGATTACATGAAGATCTATACGTCTTGGAGTGCAAGATAAGTTTCCACAAAATCACAAATAAAAAAAATTACATGCAAATCATATGTATAAGAAATTACTTATAAAATCCAAAACTTATATGCAATGAAAAGTAAAAGTCTTATTTAAATTTTTGTATTATACATTTTTTTTATATAAGCGATATTGAGGGAGGGAGGAATTGAACATAGGAACTCGAGTGCATAGGTAAATGATCTTATAGTAACATGTTATTTGGATCGAAATTCCAAAACAATAAATTTCCACAAAACAAAAAAATTACAACAATCGAGTCATGATATGATATTTTTATTTAAATGATGCTGGCATTGAGCAAGATTTTTCAACGTGATCAATTTAAACAAAACAGAATTATTTTTTTTCCCCATATGTTGCTTAATATGGAGTAAACCCATGGATGAGTCATCATCACTCATTTTTGTTGCGGTGGCTAATCTGTAAATAAAACACAAGACAAAGGGCATTTATTTATTAAACTTGAGATGAAGAAGAAAAAAGAAAAAATTCTTATGGCATGCAAATTTATTTGTTTTTAATTGTTTTTAATTTTGGGTCATGCAAATTACGCGGTATAATTTTGTCTTTTTTGAAACTGGGGAATTGGATTGGTAACGTACGGTCATGTAACGGCTACTTTTTACGGTCAAGTCCCAACTTTTCTGAGCTCTTCTTTTGACCGGGAAGGGAATGGCATTCCTGCCATTTCCACTTTCCAATACCCGATTGGATATTGGATTCTTTACATAACTGCACAAACCACAAAGTGACTGGATCTCTCTTTCTTTCTTTTTTTAATTCTAAATATTTGTTTACTTCTACGACTTCCCCCCACTCCCGGGAAAAAAATATATTACCTCTCTATCTAACACGTGGCAGGTAGCGTGCATTGTACTTCATTCAAAGGGAAGCCTCCCCTTCCCTCACGCGCAAATGATGGTCAGCGGGATCACTTTTTTTTATTTTAATTTTATTTATAAGCGGATATTGAGCGAGGAGAATTTATTTATAACACAGAACCTCAAATGCAGGTAATCGTTTATGTTTCTCAGTTGTATAATATAATGAGCTCCATTTTTACCCATTTAACCTATGCTTAAGAATTAGGAGCATTTTGTCAAAAAGGAAAAAGAAACTGAATTATGAGTAGACATATCAATTACCACATCACATCGCATGATAAGAAAATACGATTTATTTAATATTAATGTAGTTTGATAATGATAGATTAAGTTGGTTTTTTCTTTTGTTAATAAGATGTAGTTTTGGCTACAAGTATGATTAACGCTTGATTAAAGAGTTGTTCAATAAACCATTTTCTAAGTATGATTAGTGTCTCCAATAACAGTTAGTTTTACCCAATGAGCTAATAAACTTCAATTTCTTTACAAATTCATGTTTAAATATGTGAAATAGGAAAATTAAAATCCACCTGTAAATAAAGAAAAAGAAAAGGCCAAAATGCAGAGCTCAATTATTCTCTAGCACATGAGAGTGTATACACGATTTGAAATGTGGGGGCCCCACCAAAGAAAACCGCAGATGGTGGCGCTAATCGGGCCAACGCTTTCTCTCTCTCTCTCTCTCTCTCTGTGATGAAAAAGTGCACAAAATTATGCACGCTTTTCACTCTTTCTTTGCATTTCCAATTACCATATTATCCACGGGCTTTATGCCATTCATCTCTCTCATCCTCTTTCTCTTTTCATTTTCCTCCTATCAGCTCCTTTGAGTCCAAGAAACAACTTCAACATCACCTCTTATTTTCCTACACTATCATATGCATGTACCTAGTTTACTTACCCCACCTAATTTATGTGACCCCTTTGATAATTCTAAGGAAGGAATCCTATAATTTCATCTCTTTCGGCTATGAGTTTCGAAACTTAACTCTAAGTTAAGGAGAAACACATAAAGAGGGAGACATGTAGAATAAGTGTACACCCCGTTGCATATAAGGATCGAGCTATTTTTCTAATTTGATGTCGACTGTTACTTTGGGCACATGATGAGTAGTGGGCATTGACATTATTCTTAGGTGAGGTCCATAATAATTGGGCTGACACTTATAGTTGAGCTGAATAATCAAGTACCCAAGAATTTACAAAAGCATACCACCAACCACATTATCTCCTTGAAAAGCACAAGATAACCTGAAATTCATATCCATTGCAGCAAATGTTGAATGCTGCGAAAGCCAAGTAAATGGTCTAAACTGGATCAAAGTGAGCAGAGTTACAGAGTTGGACAAGATAAGGTGCGTTTGGCCTCATTGCAAGAGACCAAATTGGATACTGTGCGCAAGCGGGATCTAAAGCCATCAAGCTACATTGGGACTAGCTTGATGGTGCTTCAAAAGCAATTCAAGGTGTTGAGATTTCAGAGAGATGGACTAACGGCCCCAAAAAAGCTCAATACACGTGAAATTTATATTACAAAATGTCTCGGCGCTATTAATAATGGGAATTAAGCAATTGGCAACAATTGAAAGCTGGTATAATTCGAAGGGGATGGAGCCACAAAACCACTTTCTTTGATATATCCTTTTAATTGTCCAAATATGGGAAACAGATCATAAGAGCTAGTGATCCATGATGTGCAGCTAGCTGCCTGTGGGCCTCTCTCTACTCTCAACCTGTCTAATTCTGGTTGGTTTCTCACATCAGCATAACACAAACTTGAGCCACTAAATGGGACAAGTCGCATGCTTGTTAGGCCAATGGAGTTTTCATTTTTCAATGGGGAGAAGTTGCCCCCACAGCTCTACTGTCAGTCTGTTTTGCTCTCTAATTGCTCTGTGGCAGAGAGCAACATTGGATAACAGAGGTTCATCCCATCATACTTTTGTGTGGAGCAAGAACTTTTCCCCACTTCTTTATAGTGCTTCTTTTGGTGCCAGTACAACAATTAAAAGGTCCCCAACCCAATATGTTTTAAATTTCAAGTGGAACTTCAAATATCAAAAGTAGGGAACAAAGGCTGCCGTTATATGAATGAAAAATGCTAACATATTTCTTTTTTAAACAAGCGATCTAGAGAGAAGGGAATTAAATTTAAAATTTGGAGTGCATGGATAATATTCTTAACCACTTGAGCTACTTCAAACTCCTTGCGCGAATAATTTAGATTTTACTCCCATCTACAAGCCCGTGGAAGTTTTATTAAGTGACAAAATAGTTAAAGCACATAGCACCATGACAAAATAGTTCAACCACCTAGCTAGCACAATGAGGTCCAGTTCCACTCCCAGAAGTGTGCATGATGGAAAATTTCAAATGCAGTTCAACTTTTATAATAATTTCCAATCTCATGCTTGGATAAATTTTTTGAAGTTCCTTTGCCCTAAAGTTTGGGGCAATAAATAACTGAGACTGGGTGATGAAAAAGAAAGATTCTCACTAAGAAGTTCATGGGTTCATTATCATTAAAAAAGAAGAAGAAACATAATCATATCCCTCTGTAGGTGTGCCTTCTTAAAGGGTGTGTAAACCAATGAAAAATGAGGTGTGCCTGCCTTGTATAAAAGTGTGTGTAGAAATCAGAAAGTTCCCTTCTTGTTTCTTCTTGGCAGCTTGTGAGAGTTTGCACATGCAGAGATGCTCTGTTTTCTTCTGCTCTTCTATCTCCAATCCATACAAGTTACATACAACAACAACATTGGTTGTTGAAAGCTGCTGTCAAAGTATTTCAGAAATTCTGATATGCTCTTCAGCTGATCTATACAACATTTTGTTATCTGAGCTTTTAAGAAAATCCCTGTTGATATTTGTTGGGGAAGGGAACAGAGTTTTTTTTCTTTATTCTGAATAATCTAGGGACTTTAAGGTAAGAAGTTTCAATTTTTTTTATTTTTTATTTGTTACAAGTGATGTTACTTTGTTTATATTGCCTGATATACTTTGACCAAAGTTTTCCACATCAAAAGAAAAGACACTCGTTCGTTTGAATGATGTTTAGTTTTTGACACGACTGAGAGTTTATTGTGTGTTTATTTTTTAATACAAACAATAGTTACTGCACACTACCAAGGTGAAAGGGGATTCGAACCTGAAATTACTGGTCAGCAAATCATGATCTTTTTTCACTAGGCTAGACCCTCTTAATTTGTGTTGTTAATTAAAATAAATAGAATAGTCTGAAGCTGCTTTGCTATGGAAAAAAGGGAAAGTGGAAAGTGGGTCAGGCTGAAAGCAATGGGGTTTTGGGTCCTGTCTTTTGTAGCCCATGGTAGGCTGGGTTACTCTTCAGGTTGCAAGAACACTCGAGGCCTAGTGGTATTCATATGTTATAGCCCAAATATTATGTTATTGCAGCCCAAAACACACTTGCTGAAAGCAAAATCTTCATCTTTCTTCACTTTCATAACAAGAAAAAAAAAGAGAGAGAGGAGGAGGTTTTTGTGTTACGTAGCCCATAAGTTGGAAAAATTGCACTCTTATAATTGAGAACAACTTTGTCTTCTAACATCATCATAAATCAATCGCACAACGTCATGTATTTGAATTTTTACTTATTACAATACGTGATTGGTTTAAGATACTGTCAATCTGCCATTTCAAATAGGAGGAACTTTTTCCTCCATATATAAATGTTACTTTTACAAGAATTATGATGCAAATTATTTTTCTTGACAGAGTCTGGGGTGGTCACCGATGGTCACATCTCACATGGCCAAATTACTGGAGTCAACCAATCATATTCATGTGCGACTTAGACCAGTTCAATTGCTTTGACTAGTGTATACAAATTTTAGATGATGCTTCCAATTCCAAGTCTCATGCCGGTCACATTCAGACTGAATTCAACTTTTTCTTTGGTGATATAACTTTTTTGCCTCACCAAAAGAAAAGTTCCTAACTTTGATCAAACATGTACAATTTTCTTTTCCTATGATCAACAAAGATCCCAAAACAGAAGGAAAGAACAAAAATACACAATATTGTATGCTAAAATTAACGAAACATTGCTATAAAAATCAATTGCATGGAGCTCCATCCACCCACTACGACAATTGATATCGAAATCTCAGCCGTTGATAAACAAAACATTTGCTTGCTTACCCATCTCATCAAACGGCTAATAAGGTGCATATATCCTTTGCATGGAGTGTCAGCGTCGATTACTCACCTACCTCGTGATGAATTGTTACTGTTACTGATCGCCAAAAATCAGCTGCCAAACGTAAAGAAGAAACAGCAACAAGAGGACAAGAAGGAAGTGCTTAAAAAGCCAATCATAAGACGGTAGCAGCCGTTGCCGTTGCCGCGGCGCCGGCCACCATCACCACCTTCCTTTCCCTTGTGTCTCCGTCGTTGACGTTTATGCTTCATGACTATGTCTATGCTTTTGTCCCTCGCCATTCCTTCTTCCCCCCCACCCTCAAAACTTCAAATTTTGAAAGATCCGGTCAAAAAAATATACAAAAGAGAGAGAAGGAGAGCGTTTTTGATTTTCTGAATGTTTTAGGAAAGAAGAAGGATGAGTTTAAAAGCTATGAGTTTCCGTTTGTGTTGTGGTGTGGAGTTTAAAAGCTATGAGTTTATATAATTTCTTTTGGTTTCTGAGCAAAATCATAGCAGCTTCTAGGAAATTAAGAAGCGTGTGAATTCTGCCCGGCTTCGGCTAATCCAAGAATGCAAAATTGCATGGCCGAGGAGGAGAGTTTTAATATGCTTCTGTATTGGGCTTGCATGGTTGGACACTTTTGGTCTTGTTCTGTGTACATAATGGACATGGGCTTTGCTTCCAGGACGTAACTAGCGTTTCACACTAAGCTCTTCGGTCCTTGGGATACCATCTTCAGACCATGTACATCCTTAAAAAATGCCAAGTTATAGGAATTCTGTAGTGAGGGCATTATATATGGCCCTTAGGCAAGATCCCATTTCTTTATCGTTGGATTAAATTAGTTAGCCGTTGGATAAAATTGATTAGAATAATCTAACAGTTAAGAGATAGAACCTTACATAAGGGCCATATACAAGGTCCTCACTATAGAATGACTTTGCCAAATTAACCTTTGTTTCTTTGATGTAGCACTCAATCAGTCCATTTTGTGTTTACATAAAAGCCCAATCTTTGACACATAAATTAACGAATGTCATATGAACAACAAAGACGAACAATCTTGCAAAAGACCCACTAGTGTACTAGTTTGAAGTAATTGGCCTAGTAGACAAGGTCTTGAATTTGAATCTTAGTATATGTACAATATGTGTAAATTTAGTATAAAGAATACCTTAACCTTTTTGGGAAATGACCCCCACTACCACCCATTTACTAATATTAACTAAAAATACCACCCCTTCCCAATTTTTGCAAAACTATAACCTATAAATAAAAATTATTGTCCTCCTATTGCTGATTTATCACAAGTTCATAAATTTTGGTCTCTCTTAGCTCACGCAGCTCTCTCTCTCTCTCTCTCTCTGGCACAGCTCTCTTTCTCTTTGGTATTTCGCAGCTCTCTGTCTCTCTTGGCTCTCTCTCTCTCTGTAGCACAACTCTCTGTCTCTGTCTTTGCTCTCTTTCTCATACCGCAGCTCTTTCTCTCTCTAGATTCGTTATGTCTGTTTCTCCCCATATTCGGTCTTGCTCTCTGTTTGGAATCGCGAACCCCTACCTTTAGGTATGTCTTCTGAATAGCTGCTTGCAACCGTGAAGCTCTAGTGGATTGCCGACCTCGAAAAGGTAGTGTTGATGGTTATTTTCTTTTAATATCAGTGGGATTATGTGAAATGGGTTACATTTTGATTGTTTGGGTTTGTGTTAAATTTGTTTTGGCTTTAATTGCTTTGGGTTAGGTTTTGTTGAATATCCATGTTGATTCATCTGGGTTTGTACCAATTGCACTTAGATTGGTCTGGATATGTGAATCTTGAAACTTGGGATTTTCCATTTGATGTAGTAGATCTGTATAGTGTGATTCTGATGTGTTACACCAGTGTTCCTCTTATTTTACCGTCGTATTGTTGTTATGTTGCTGTTATATTGCCATTATATTGCTGTTATATTGCAGTTATATTGTATGGTTATTGTGGTTATATTGCTGTTATACTGTATGGTTATTGTGGTTATATTGTGTTAATGAACTGTTGTTTTGTCATGGTCAGAAATGGAGACAATTGTTATTCTCGTGTGCTACAATGGAAAATGGGTCACCTCGAAGAAGATGTGCAAATACGAAGGGGGTGACTCAAAAGGCTTAATAGTTCCACGGACCATCAAATTTGCTGAACTGTTGGACCGTGTGCATCAGATTGGTAATACAAACAGCAGGGAAGACAAGGTTTGCTTAAAATTCTCAGTTTTGGTGGCCTCGAATGAGTGGAAGCACATAAAGATTGAGGATGATGATGATGTCAATTTTTTTATGAAGTACAATTCTGAGGTAACACCTTCAAAACTAGCTCCCTTACTCGTGAGTATAGAAGATAAAGGACTCACAAATGATGTAGTTGATAGTATGCATATCACGACAAATAGTAGTCGGATGGGTCGTTCTTCAGTCGCCATTGTTGAAAGCAATGAAGTAAGTTGGAATAATACAAATGGCAATGATGTGGGAGGTGAAGTAGGGACAGATTTTATGGATATGATTGATTTTAGCGAGGTGGAGGACATGCATGGTGGTGATAATGGTACTGAAAGAAATGAAGTGTCAGTGTACTCTGCCCCTCCTATTTTGGGCTGCTTGAACACATCTGCCCAACTGCCAATAATTCGTTTAGGAGGAGAATCTGAACCCATTCGTGAACATTATTGGAATCAAATAGGTGAACAGAACCGGTACAATGAAGCCGGTGTAAATGATGGGGAAGCATATTTGGATAGCGGGTGTTCGCGAAGTGATTGGAATCCGAAAATTACAGTTGGGCAAATTTTCTCTAGTAAGAAAGCATTGTTGACGGAGTTACAGTTGACGGCAATAAGAGGCCACTTCGAATTTAAGGTGCAATTCTCCTGCACAAAGAGGTTGCTTGTGGTTTGTTGTCAACGTCCATGCCCATGGCGGGTCCGAGCATCGAGATTTGGAGAATACAGCTTCATGATTGTGAGGTGTACAACTGTCCATGAATGTGATTTGAGGTTCATAAGTGAGAACCATCGTCAAGCAACCGCAGCACTTGTAGCCACTTCATGTAAAAGGAAGTTGAAGGATTCTCGGACAATATACACACCAAGTGACATTATGAGAGATGTGAAACACAACTTTGGTTTAAGAATCCATTATTCGAAAGCTTGGAAAGCAAGGGAGTTAGCTCTATTGTCCATTAGAGGATCAGCGGAGGAGGCATATTATATTCTTCCAGCTTATTGCTATGAATTGGAGCGTATGAATCCCGGCACAAAAACACACATCCAAACTGATGAGAACAATCACTTTGTGTATTTATTTATGGCGGTTGGTGCATGTATTAGAGGGTTTTGTTCTTCCATGCGCCCAGTGATAGCTGTGGATGCCACTCATTTAAAATCCAAGTACAAGGGTGTTATGTTTGTAGCAAATGCATTCGATGGTAATCGAAATATATATCCTCTTGCTTTTGGGATCGGGGATTTGGAGACGGATGCATCATGGCATTGGTTTTTCACTAAACTTCATGAAGCCATTGGTGAGTGTCCCAATCTTGTTATTATTTCTGATCGAAATGTTAGCATACAGAATGTGTGCAACAAAGTTTTTCCAACTGCGCAACATGGCATATGCTTTTATCATATGAAGGGGAACATGAAACGCACTTGCAAGTTGAAAAAGCGTGATCCAATACTTATGCACTTTGAGCAGGCTGCGAAATCTTATTCCATTGCTGAATTTGATTGTCATTTTCGCAAGATCAAGCGAAAGGAACATGTTGCTCAATATCTTGAAGAGGCAGGGTTACATAAGTGGTCTAGAGCTCACATGGATGGACGCCGCTACAATGTAATGACAACAAATATTGCGGAGTCAATCAACTCAGTCCTTAGGTTTGCAAGGACGCTGCCAGTGGTTCATTTGATAGGGGAAATTATGAATCTCCTTGTCAAATGGTTCACCGAACGTCGTGAGTTGGCTTTGAAGTGCACAACAACATTGTGCCCCAATTTTGGAGAGAAGAAGTTGAGGAACAGGTTGGAGGATGCTGCAACGATGAATGTGGTTAAAGTGAATAATGCACAGTTTAATGTTTTGGACGGTCATATGGATGGCCTCGTAGATTTGACGAACAACACTTGCAGTTGTAGAAAGTTTCAGCTTGAGCAGCTACCTTGCAAGCATGTAGTTGCAGTTTGCCGCTTCTTGAAAGTAAATGTATACTCAAAGGCTTCTCGGTATTACACTCGGAAAACCTGGATGGATGCTTATTCGGATAGCATCTACCCGATACAGCCTCACGGAATGTGGGATATTCCTGAAGATGTTCGAAGTCGAGTTGTGCTGCCTCCCATTGCAAGGGTCATGCCAGGCAGACGAAAGAAGATAAGAATTCCCTCGCAAGGAGAGGGCACCATTAGAAGAAAGTGCTCAAGGTGTGGTTCCGCAGGCCACAATAAAAGCACCTGTAAAAACACTATTCCACTGCGCAATGTATCTTAGACAATATGATTTCTGTTGCTTTGGTAGGTCATGTCAACTTTACTTTTATTTGTGGTGGGTTTCGTGTTATGTTGAATGGGAATTCTTTTACATTTGCATAATTTGGGTTGCATTGCTACAGCATGCTGTATTGCGTCCAGATTGCCATTATATTGTACTTTTATTGCCATGATATTGCTTCCATATTGCTATTATAATTTGAGTGCGAAATTAAGGGGCCTGGAATGTAATTCCAAATGGATCCAAAACATTCAAGTTCTTTGAATTCCTTTATGACACAGTTACCGTGATACTCCGACTATACCTTCTTTTGTGATTACAAATTCGGCCGATGCATAGGCCACATGTGGGGCAAATACAAGGTGAAATGTCCTATGTGTTTGACTACATATCGTTGTTGAAGGAGCATTACGAATGTTAACCCCAATAGATTGCTCATGTCCAATGGATAATTTAGGGGTTGAAAGAGGAAGGAGCACGAGGTTTTGGGGTGTCATGTTTCTGTAATTTGGGGGGGGGGGGGGGGGGATGTGTGCTACAAGGCATGCATTATATATATAGAGTTCATTTTGAAGGTCTGTAATGTAGGTCATATGTCTTTTAAGGGATGTATAATTCATCCTTTTTCCAGGTTGTAATTACTTTTATTTTTTGTATTTTTGTATTTTTTTGGACCAAATAATTTTAAAAACATTCTGATGACTACGTACTGTAATATGATCATATTGTAACCCTATCACTACTCTATTGCACCCTTATTGACATAATATTGCCATTATACGCATGTTTATTGTATAGTTATTGCTGCTATATCGCCACTCAACTGGACACTGATAAACTGTATACGCACAAAAACAAAAAGAGGCATCATCATTCCATAAAATCCTATTTCCAAACTTACATAATACAACAACATTCGACCAAAAAAAAAACATAATACAACAACAGGCCACCCCATCGTTACATAATACAAAAAGAGGCGACCTCATAGTTCCATTTCCCTGCTATTGACAAATTCGAAGTTG